TTGTAACCAACTATGTTTTGTCTATTACAAGCAGGAACTAATCCCATGTGTGATTATTTACATGGGCATTAAATTCATCTCTCATGGCAAAATGCTAATGAGCATGTTTTGTGGCTTTACTGTGTGTAGGGGTTCACTGGTCCTAAAACAGGAACATATTCAAAAATATTTTTAGGTTTGTATATGTTATTTTGGGACATTGTAATAATGGTGGGACCAGGACGTGGAGGGCTTACTACACTGAAGGAGATGAATGTGAAATTGTACTATTTAACGCTATAGACCAGGAACCTGATGGAGTGCAGACAGGTAGTCGAGAAGTTGATGAAGTAGATACCACTGGAGCTGTATGTATTATAGGATAAGGAGATGGTGAAATTGGAGCATTAGGTGGTAAAACATTCGGGCTTGGTGACGAGACAGGAGTAGCTGCAGAAAAGTCAGGTAGAAGTGGTAACTTCTGTGACTTGAGGAGCTTGTAAGAATAAAGATTGAAAGGAAAATAAAAATTTCAATGAAAGACCATATGGCAGGAGAGATATATACATGAGGTGTTGGGGTCGAGACATGTGATAACAATGATGAGAGGTGGAATAGTCTAGAATAACACATGGTTGGGGATTTAGGGTCTAATGTTATGGCATTTGTGTGGTTTAAGCCAAGGGTGGCATAGACTCCCAAACACCTTGAATGTTAGGTAGTTTAGATTGTCAGGAAAAGAGTTTCAAAGGGAGATTTTTGCTGAAGAATAGGGGTTGGCATGCGACTTATGAGGTAAACAGCAGTTTGACCAGCTCCCGTCCAAAACTTGAGGGCAATTGAGGCCTAACACTTGAGAGTAAGAGCAGTTTCAAGGATATGACGATGCCTTCTTTCTGCAGTGGCAACATGTGGAGGTGTGTAAGGGGAGAATAAAGATGTTGAATGCCATGTTGACAGAGAAAATGATTAAGCCTTGATATTCTCTTCCTCCATTAGAGTATAGAGTGATAACGGGAAGTTGAAAATATTTCTTAACAAGAGTGTTTAAATTGCTCAAATACACTTGTAGTGTCATATTTTTGTCTAAAAGGGTATAGCCATGTGTATTTGGTAAAGTGGTCCACGAAAATGGCATAATATTTGAAATGAACAAAGGATGTAATGAGAGCAGGACTCCATACGTTTGTGTAGAGCAATTCAAGTGGTTGTAAGCTGTGAAGCGAAGACATACCAAATGATAACTTATGACTTTTATTGCAAAAGCAACAGTTACATAAACTCAAGGCAGTCTTTTGAGAGATAGGTAAATGAAATTTAGCATCCTTTTTATTTGGGTGACCTAAACCTTGATGCCAAAAAGATATAGCTGGATGTAATGTGGTGTTGCGGGTAGGTACATGATGAGTTTGAATGTGAGGAAAGAAAGATGCTTGATCAGATGATGGACACTTGTAGAGGTTCCCATTGCTCCAGCCGCAGATAAACATTGCCCCCATTCTCAAATCCTTCACCACAAGGTAAGAAGTAAAGAATTCACTAGAAGTGTCAATACTTTTACAAAATTGTGAAACTAAGAGAAGATTTCTGGTGATGTGAGGTGCACACAAAATATTGTTAAGTGCAAATGAATTATTAGAGGTATTAAGCACGATGGAACCTGTATGTATGATAGGATTGTTGTTACCATTACCAACATGAATATCATCGCTGCTATTGTACTCAGAATGAGTAGCTAGGTTCTGGAAATTCAGAGGTCATGTGATGGAAGCTCCAGAAATCATGAGCCAACTTTTATTTGTTGTTGATGGAGTTCAAATAGAGAGGGGGCTTGAGGCTCAAATATCACCATTGACCTGCATACATTGGCTGAGTAACCAAACTTGTTAGAGATCTGACATTGGATTTTACCTCCATTTAGGCTTGATGGAGATGGAAGTCAATTGAGATTGATGCCTTGGTTTTCTGGATTGTAATGCCCTTGCTGATTATGGGTACTTACTGTCCACCATTTGGGAAAAGTACTTCTTGTTTTGTTATTATTGTAGTTTCCTCCTTTGGATTTGTTAGAGTTGGTGAAATGCTGATTATATTATGTTGTGATGTTGATTGGTTCCTTCTTGCCGGCTTTATGTTTTAAGAATGTTTCATGGTCAACAAGTGTATCAAATAGTTCTTCGTCTGTTATTGGAATGTAACGGGCACGTATAGCAGCACTGATCTCCTTGTGCTTAGGTTCAAGGCCTGTGAGGATTGTTATCACCATTTCATCATTCACTAAGAGGAGATCCAGCCAGCAAGTTCATGGGCAATGGTTTGGATTTCTCTTTAAGTATTCGGCCACAGGTTTGGAGTTTTTTACCATGTTGGGTAGAGTTGTATGTAGGCCATAGATTCTGGTTCTTGATTTGTTGGCATATGGAGTAAAGAGATTGTCCCAGACTTGTTTGCAGTTTCTGCAGTTGCCATCATGTGGGCGCTTGTGCCATCAACTGAGGCCATGATAGGATTTTGAAGAAGGCTGTCTTGTCCCTCCATACCTTATACTCTGGTGAGTTTTAATTCTGTAGGACACGGATATGAGGCATCAATATAACCCGTTAGGTTGTATCCATGAACCAAGGTGATGATTTGCACTCTCCATGTTGGGTATGTATTGTTGCCTGTGAGTTTGAGTGGGATTTCAAGGCAATATTGAAGGTTATCAAGAAGTTGGCTTGAGATTATTTCCTGCTATGTGATATTGGTATTTTGGAATTCTGCAGCAAAGTTTTCTGCCACTGTAGGAATAGTTCAAGTTATGCTTGTTGGTTTTTTTTTGAACTCTGATACCATATAAAGGTATTGAAAATGATGAAGACCTTATTTTTTTCATAAACAGCATATATATTCACAATGACTATTTTCAAGAGTAATGATGATGGAGCAACTTTGGGTTCTATATTTGGTACAAAATCAAGCTAATAATTAAATGAAAATCTGTCGACTAATCAACTATGATCAAAATAGATTGTGGGATTGTAACTTTTATAGATTGTTGACTAATCAACTGTGATTGGGGCATATTATATGGGATTGGAGCTGATATAGATTGTTTACTAATCAACTGTAATTGCGGCTGATTATGTGAGATTGGGGCTGATGATCTATTAGACAGAACTCTCTGGTAGAGCTCCATAGTTTTTCTAATCAATTCATGAGGCTTTTCATACCATCCAACCTGTACATTACTACTGTAAATATCATTCTCCTAAAAGTAAAAAGTGTAAATGTTTCATGGAAGAATTTTGAAACTCTTGAAGGGGAACTTGTTGAAGCTAGTACTTGGATATAAAAAGGATTTTTAGAAGAATAGGAAATTGTATAATCTGAAGAGCTGGTTAGGGATACGATAATTTTAATGCTAATCTAATGTTGCAATGGTAAACGGAGTATTCCCAGGAACTAGACATTGTCGTGTTTTAATTTTACCATCTATTATCATTCTGATGGATGGTGAAGTCGACACGATACGGAAATACCAGCTAAAGTTCTGAACTGATTTTGGCTATTCAAGGAAATTTAGCATCTATTCTGATAACAAAATGTCCTGCTTCGCGGCCAGTAGATTATGTAGAATTGAATGGTTGTTCAAGTAAACTTTTGTTTGCATCAGTATAATTACTGAAACGGTTATGGTTAAAACTCAAATGTGATGCCAAACATTGGAATTCAACAGTGGGATGACTGTATGACTGGCAATTGTTGTTTGTAACTTGCTAAGGATGGAAACAATGATACTTTAATGGTCACTATATGTTCCAAGAAAAATAATGTTAAGGTAGAGCGAAGTAATAGAGATATATAGGATATGCTAAATGTGATGCTTAAAAGATGCTATATGTATAGTTGACAGTCATCTTTGCTAAAAATTCTCTTTGAGATTACATAATTTGTTTTCGTAGGTTACATTTTGTGATTATGTAATTACCTTTTCTCTACATATTTTTTTCATTTGTTTTTCTGTTTTCCACAGTCAACTGGATAACAACCACTTTGATGGTGCGAAAATCCCAGCTTCATATGGAAACATGTCTACATTGCTGAAATTGTAAGTGCTTAAGAATTATTCATATATTTGCAACTAGGTCTTGGAGGCAGAGATATGGATTATAGAGCGACTTGCTGCTCCTATCATGTGTTTAATATTTCATGTGCGAAACACTAAAATCTGGTCCTTGAAAGTTGAAGCATGATATTCCATTTAGAGAGAGAGTACAGGACCAGTAAGATGTGGTGGAAAATGGGCATGGTTATTAATTACCTTAGAACTATTTTTTTTGAGTTGTTACTACTTGGAAGAAAAGAATCCATCCAAAACATTCTCAAACCAATTCAGCTGGTTTGTATATTCAGTCCAGTTTTGCCATATTTTCCATACACCTTCAATTGTTTACTATTACTGGAATTATATTTATCAGTAGTTCAAATCTGAGCTGTTAAGGATTTTACAAAGTTTTTGATCTTAAACCCAGACAACTCTTTCTTTTTGCGTTTTCAGGAGTCTGAGGAACTGCAGCTTGGAGGGAGAGATCCCTGACATGAGCAGGATACCGAAGCTCGGTTATCTGTGAGTTTATATACTGAATGCTCCTTCATAAAATCATTTTGACAGGATTGGATTTTTAATTGGATTTTGAATGTTTCTCTTTTAGCTATTATTTATAATCTATAGTGCATGATTTCAGAGACCTCAGTTTAAACAAGCTCAATGGATCTATACCTCCAGGCAGGCTTTCTGATAAAATCACAACTGTGTAAGAACTGCAAACTTCTTCTTTCTGCATTTCTTGCTTTACTCTGAACTCCTTGTCTTTTACAGTTTCTTTGACCTCTGATATTTACCATCAATTCATATGTGCAGCAACTTATCCAACAATAGTCTTACCGGAAATCTTCCTGCCAGCTTATCTGGTCTTTCTCACCTTCAAAACTTGTGAGCACTTTTTGGGCTTCTTTTTTGACGAGTCCTATGGTTTATCGATGTTTCTGTAAATTAAATGATTTAAGATAATAACAAAGCTGATTAAATTCAATGTTATGTATGAATGTCTTTGTTCATCTGCTTCCTCCTCCTAATTGCAGGTTACTGGCAAATAACAAATTGAGGGGCCCTATCATGTCTAGCATTTGGCAGAACAGGACATTGAAAGCAAATGAGACTTTCACCTTGTAAGACTTTTGAAGATAAATTATCAAATTTTCATTGACAGTGTGTGCATACTGATATTCAGGTTCTCGAGCATATAATCAAGGAACAGTTTATTCTCTTTGTTGTTTTAGGCTCATTTGTAATTTGATATATAGGTTGTTAGAAACAGAGTTTATAATTAATGTAATTCCTTGTCTTGTTGTACTCAGTGATTTGTGGCCTTTTGGTGTTGCAGGGATTTGGAAAACAATATGATTTCAAATATTTCAGGGAGTTCCAGTGTCCCTCAAAATGTCACTCTTCGGTTTGCTTCTATCCTTGTTTCTTGTGACTTCTAAACAAAATGTGAATCTGCCTACTGTTTTGTCATCTAAAATGAAATACGTTTTACAGTTCTGTTTACTTCCAAAAAAAGATACAATATTTGTTGCCAGCTTTATCTATTATGGTTGAACTCAAGTTACATTATGTAATGATTCTCATGGTTCTTTCATCACTATTATCTTAATTTCAGGCTTCGAGGCAATCCTTTATGCTCAAATGCAAATTCAGTGCATTTTTGTGGATTACAAATAGAGAAAGAAAATGCTAGTCACAGAACAGATTCTACTGATGGTTGTCCCCCAGATGCATGTCCCCCATCTTTCGAATTTTCCCCAGGATCTCCTGTACCTTGTCTTTGTTTTGCTCCTTTGCCTGTTGGATATAGATTGAAAAGTCCTGGATTCTCAAGTTTTGGTCCATATAAAAAGACATTTGAAGAGTTCTTAACCTCTGGTCTCAATCTGCATATTGATCAGATGCACATCGATTCCTTCCAATGGGAAAAAGGACCTCGACTAAGAATGTACTTGAAATTTTTTCCTTTACATGATCCTAACATCAGCAGTTCTCGTATCTTCAACAAGAGTGAGGTTCAACGAATTAGGCGGTTATTTATGGGATGGAATATTCATGATAGTGAAATATTTGGTCCCTATGAACTTCTGAACTTCACTCTGTCAGATGTTTACAAGGATGGTTTGTTCTCTAAACTTATCTTTTATATTTCTTGACAAAACTTTATGAGTGAGACTAAAAGCATATATCAATTTACTGATATGTTTTTCCTTCCCACCCTAAATGGAACATAAAGTTCAACGCCAGAATGTTACTCCCCTCCCCTCCCCTGCTTTCTTCTACCTCCAGTTTTCACAAAGAAATAGTTACTTTAGGATGGCCATGATATATTTCGCACATTAATGAATTAGAAAACCTGCTGACTTTTCCTCCGTTATCAGCAGTTGAAGTTTGTCTTCACTTGTTTGCTTAAAATTTTTGGCTGAGACATTTACATGGATAGGTTCTAAGATTCCTCCTCGTATTGAAAAATGTGTTTAATTTCCTCTCTGGTCAGTAAAATTATATGCCTAAAATGCTTTGTGCTAGAAAAATAGTTTACAAAAAAATGGTAATCATGCTTGGGACTGTATTGCACACACATAAATGGTAATCATGTTTCTGGCCACGTTAATTTATTGTTGATTAACCTTGCTTTCAAGATGTTTTAGTCCAAGCACACGTGGTATCACTGCAGTGGCACTAAAAATCCTGTCTGTCAATTACTTTATCAGAGAGAATTGCCCTGTTCACTTTCTTGTCACTTTAAGATGATTTGATGTGTAAGAAAATTATTAAGCAGCTATCCTTTACTCAGCCAAAAGCAAAAGCTTTAAGCTGATGATAGTGTTACTTGATGATCCATTCACAGATGAGATATGAGCTGATTATCTCACCTTTTCTCGTCCATGTTTTGGAGATACATGATGATATTTCAATATAATTTCATGTATCTGTTTGATGTATATGATTTCCATACTACCTTAAATTATTTACACTTGCTGCTCTTGTGGATGTCAGTGTTTCCAAATTCAACATTCAATCTTAATAAGGGTGCACTAGCTGGGATAATACTTGGAGCTATTGCTTGTGCTGTCACATTATCTGCAATTATCTCACTTATTATCTCAAGGTTCTACTTGAGGAGCCACCATGTACTTTCTAAACGAAAACAATGTGAGTATCTCAGAACATTGGAGATAAGATGCTCAGAGTGATACATCTACATCTAATGTTCCAGTGTGCTTTAACATTTCTCCCATATTTACATACAGCATCTAGGATCTCTGTTAAAATCGATGGAGTTAAGAGTTTCACTTACAGAGAAATGGCACTGGCTACAAACAATTTTAACAGCTCTGCCCAAGTTGGCCAAGGAGGTTATGGCAAAGTTTACAAAGGCATCTTGGCCAATGGCATGGTTGTTGCCATTAAAAGAGCACAAGAGGGCTCATTGCAGGGTGAAAAAGAGTTCCTGACGGAAATTGAGTTGTTGTCAAGATTGCATCACAGAAACCTTGTTTCTTTGATTGGTTATTGTGATGAAGAAGGTGAACAGGTGCTTCTTTTCTTCCCTTGCTAGCAATTAAATGCCCATAAGAATTATAATTCCTTTCTGGTAAGAGGTGTATGTAATCAGACAAAAAGATTTCAGAAAGCACTAATGGACAAAGATGGAAGATGTGAATAATCTGGACAGCTGATTTCAACAATATTACATAAATAAAATATATGAGATGCAAGAACTGAGATGTGACTTGGGTGGATGGATTCTTAATTTCTGTTAAAGGCCCCTGAAGGAGGATGTAGTTATGGTTTGTTAGGGAAGAGGGTAAAGATTCATTAAGAGAGGACTCTTTGATCTCTTAATGGTAAGGACTCATTAAGAGATAACTCTTTTGATCTATTTTTGAAGGGCCTGTTTAGAGAGAACACTTTGATATCTGATTTCAGGAAAGAAACTTGCATTTCTCAACGACAATTTCTGTTTTTTTTTTTCATTACACAATTTTAGAGACAAGATAAATCTTATGGATAACTCCCAAACTGCCCTCAGACTGTCTGGTAACCTCTTCCATGTCTAAGAAAAAATAAAAAACTTACAGTTTAACCCAGAAATGACTAGGAAGTGTAGAAAATAAATCCTAGCAGAAAGTATCTAGGAACTGCAGAAAACTTAATCTACTCTTTTCATCTTGTCTCTATTTGTAAATCTTTTATAGACCAACTAAAATCCACTACTAACTTCATAATAAAATCTTTCTTTTAGCAGCATGTACTCTTGGTTAAAAAGATCATCTACCATGTTATGGTATTCTTAGAAACTACTAGTTGGATACTTATTTCTAGTTGTTGTGCATGCAGATGTTGGTGTATGAGTTTATGCCAAGTGGCACCCTGAGAGATCGTCTTTCTGGTATACTCTTGGTATTTGTCCTGTTAAGTTCATTTTTTAATCATCATATTGCCTTATTGTTTAGCAGGAAGAACAAACAAAACAACTTATTGTTCCTTTTTCTTAATCTCATATGTAAATATAAATCTGAGGTTCTCATGGATATCAATAACCTTGCTTGGAAAATCTTTTTCTTGTTTGTTTCTTCTTTCCTTTTGGTGTTTCTTTTATATAGGACATAATCATGATACTATAATTATATAAATGAGTTTCATGAGCTTACTTTCGTGGTTAATGTATATGCTGTCACAGCTAAGTCTAAAGAACCTCTGAATTTTGAGATGAGAATGAGAATTGCCTTGGGTTCGGCAAAGGGTATCCTCTACCTACATACAGAGGCTGATCCACCAATATTCCACAGAGATATTAAGGCTAGCAACATATTACTGAATTCTAAGTTCACTGCAAAAGTTGCTGATTTTGGCCTTTCAAGACTTGCCCCAGTTCCCAATATTGAAGGGTCTGTACCTGGTCATATATCCACAGTTGTGAAGGGGACACCGGTAAGGCTTTTATGGCATTTATATTCCCAAAATAATAATAGGCTTCATGAAGAAATTGGTTGTTTATGATATTTAGTCATGCAAAGAGCCTCGACTTTAAATTTCAGTATCCATCTTGTTCTGCCATCAGTCTTTTCCATGGTGGCTCAAGCTTTTTATTTGTACTAGTTTTATTTCTTATGGATGTAAAGCTTACTGCCGATATGACTAGTTTTAAAATGTTAAAAGAATTCACAAAAGAAATTCTATTCAAGTAACATAGATATAGCGGAATATGTTTCTCTGCCCAAAGCCATTCTTTTGTAGTAGCTGCATGTTTCAAAACTTGAAATCTTACTCTCTCACTAAAGTGGGAGAGAACTCCTAGTCTATTGCCCAGGGTTTGAGAAAGCCATTTGGTTTGGTGGCCTGTTACTCCCCTTCAGAGTCCGGTGGCTTGCTTAGGTTCTAATGCATTATCTATCACCTTGCCCTGAGGGTTCTCCCTCAAGTAATGGGCTATTAACCAAGAAAAGTTAACATTTAGATCTTCCTTTTCTCTTTGCAGGGTTACCTTGATCCGGAGTACTTCTTAACTCATAAATTGACAGACAAAAGTGATGTCTATAGCCTTGGAGTTGTATTTCTAGAGCTTCTGACTGGGATGCACCCAATCTCGCATGGCAAAAACATAGTTCGAGAGGTGAACGAAACATATTATCAGCTCCTATTAGTTAAATTTCATCCTATCCACATGTTGCTTAAGCTACATTTCACTTGAGTGTTGTTACATCCACATTTTCAATAGGATATTGTTAGATAAAAAAGTGAAGAATGATTGAACCGTTGTCACTGCAATCTGCATCATTTGACTTACCTTATTGTCCCCCTTAGTTAAAAAAAAAAAAGAGAGGTGCTTTTTCTTTTTCTTCTTCCTCCTTGTCCTTCTTCCCTTCGACACACTTTCTTTTGGGTACACATGGATACGAATGTTTGTGGAGTCTGGTTATATGCTGCATGCGATCAGTATCCCAATCATCTTAAATTGAGTCTGATCTTATTTGTGTTTATATATGTTGATGAACTTCAGGTTAATGTTGCATATCAAACCGGTATGATCTTCTCGGTCATTGACAGTCGAATGGGCTGTTATCCCTCTGAATGCGTGGAAAGGTTTGTAAATTTAGCCCTGAACTGTTGCCAAGAAGAAACCAATGCAAGACCTTCAATGGCAGAGGTGGTCCGGGAACTTGAAGATATATGGTTCATGATGCCTGAGTCTGACAGCAAAACGGAAGAATCAGTAGACACCGAGTCTGGAAATATTGTAACTCCACCATCATCATCTGTGATGAAGAATCCTTATCTCTCAACTGATGTCTCTGGTAGTGACCTTGTTAGTGACGTAATTCCCTCCATAAGACCTAGATGAAGAAATACTATGAGACCCAAAAAAAAATAGGAGTTGCTGACTTCTAATACAAACTATAGTTTTGTTAGATAATTAGAACTTACATGTCCCTTGTTGAGGATGTAGATTCGAGTTTGTTGGCTGTTGGTTCTTATCATATAGTAACTAATAAAAACATAAAATATTTGTATAGTTTTTTTTTTTTATTATAAAAAAATAATATGTACTAGTAACAAAGTTGTAAGATATTGTGTTGTTTTAACATGAAATACTATTGTACATATAAATATTATCAATTTAGTGTATTAATTTGAATAAAATTAGTCAAGTGATTAAAAAGAAATGAAAGAAAAAAAAAATTAAAAGGAAAGCAAAATATTTATTTCTATTTAAATGAGTAGAAATTCGTTAATATTTTAAAATTTATCCTATTTCTGTTTATAACAAAAAATAATAATTAATTATAAAAAGTTGATAACACCTCTTGATAATAAAATAATTACATATGTAAAAATAAAGAATGAAATTATAATTATTTAAAATTAATAAAAATTTTGAGAATGAAAAATTCTAAGTGTACAAATGTGACTGTTATGATTTTTTAATACAATAAAATATTATTTGATTTTTAAAAAAAATGTAAATAATTGTTAATGAGAATTTTATGATTTGCAGAGCATTCCAGTAAATAAATTTATAAAATATACAATTTATATATATATGTTAAGAATTTCAATAATTATGTAAATTTAGTAATGAAATTTATCTTTTAGCGCCAAAAGTGGAAATCGGACCGGGTTTATTAAAGTTTTAGAAATTGGACCGGGTCGTCTTTTAGAAGGGCCTAGAACTTACAACTTCAAAATTTATGGGCCCATCAACAAAACGCACACGCAATCGCATACGCGCAAACGTTTTAGGGTTTCCCGTCTATATATACGCCAGCCTCTCTGGCCATTTCTCCTCATTTAGGGTTTGTTTACAGAGTCTCCGGTTCAGAAGAACGCGGCGTCATGGGACGAAGTAAGTTTTATGAATGCAATTCCTGCTTGCTTCTATCATTCTATCTGTTTTGTTTGGATGATCTTTCATATGTTTCTTACTCTTGTGTTATCTCATGGAGCGAAATGACGAATCTCGAGCTAATGCATTTTTGTTAACATATTTTTGTGATTTGAATCGTTTGTTAAGGGTCCAAACTATTTCAGGTTTTATTGTTATGATTATTATGATTATTATTGTTATTATCATTGTGCGTACCTTTTCTCTTATGTTTGATGTCCGAATGGGAGTTTAACCCTGGAAAGCTCCATGCCTTTTACCAACTTTAATTGGGATACGCTTTGACGACTTATGAACCTTTTTGCTTCTGAGATATAAGAAGTCCTTTGAATTGATATGGAAGTGTCTATAACTGGCTGATGACTTCATCCTTTCATTAAATTTTATATCTAAACGGTTGTCGTGGTATTTGTAGGACCTGCAAGGTGCTATCGCCAAATTAAGAATAAGCCCTACCCCAAATCGCGGTACTGTCGCGGTGTTCCTGATCCCAAGATCAGGATCTATGATGTGGGTATGAAGAAGAAGGGTGTGGACGAATTCCCTTTCTGTGTTCATTTGGTTTCATGGGAGAAGGAAAACGTGTCCAGTGAAGCCCTCGAGGCCGCACGTATTGCCTGCAACAAGTACATGGCCAAGTATGCTGGAAAGGATGCCTTCCATTTGAGGGTCCGAGTCCATCCTTTCCATGTTCTGCGTATCAACAAAATGTTGTCTTGTGCTGGGGCTGACAGGCTCCAGACTGGCATGAGGGGGGCTTTTGGCAAGCCACAGGGAACTTGTGCCAGGGTTGCTATTGGCCAGGTTCTTCTGTCTGTTCGCTGCAAGGATAGTAACAGCCACCACGCTCAGGAGGCACTTCGCCGTGCAAAGTTCAAATTTCCTGGTCGTCAAAAGATTATTGTCAGCAGGAAGTGGTATGTTGACATGTTTATATGTTCGTGTGAATATGTTCAAAGTATTAGAAGATTGTTAATTTAATGTGTCACTTTGCATTTCCTGACATAGAAATTTTTGTGGGTTAAGAAATATAACTTAGGTGGTGTTTCTATAACTTGTATGTTTTTGGACTTTGAAACTATTGTTTTTAATATCGATGTCTAAAGGCTATAAAGTTAGGACGCATAATTAATGGTTACAGTAATTGATGTTATGAGCTTGTTCTTAATGTAATATTCTCCTGTAACATTCTGCTGTGCAAAGTTAGAGTTTCATGGTGTCCAAAAGATTGTCATCAGCTGGAAGTGGTCTGTTGATACACCTATATGCATGTATGGATATGCTCAAGATGATAAAAGATTGTTAATTTAATGTGTGTTACTGTGTTTTTTTTGACATTGAAATTTTTATGGGTTAAGAAATATAACTTAGGTGGAGTTTCTGTAAGTAGAATGTTTCTGAACTTTGAAACTATTGTTTTTAAAATCAATATCTAAAGGCTAGAAAGTTGGGACGGATAATTAATGGTTTCATTAATCTATGTTTTGAGCTTGTTCTTAATGTAACATTCTCCTGTCTTTTGTTTGTCTCTGCCATGAATGATATCTCTTAATTTTTCTCTATAAATAGGTAATTTGTCTGGTTAGTTTCCTTAGAATGAGAGAGTGTTTTCCCTTTGCCTAGTACTAGTTTTATGTTAGTTGATGATAATGGCTGTGTTGGATGGTTTCACTCTAATTCCTTTTTCTTAATTTTCCTTTTCATTTTGTTCTCCTGATTATAAGAAAAGTAATTTGTTCATACACAAGTTTGTATGTTGAATCTGTTATCTAAGTCTAGTATTGGTGAAGGTCACCATTTCTTTCCAAGTTCTTGTCTCATGATGATGATAAATGTTTATTTGTTTTCAGGGGATTTACCAAATTCAGCCGCTCTGATTATTTGAAATATAAGTCAGGGAACAGGATTGTCCCCGATGGTGTTAATGCTAAGGTTTGTATTTCATAGTTCAACTTTGTGTTTTGTAATTTACTTAAAGCAATTGATCAGCATTTTTGCTTTGGCTGATGGGCGAGTTTTGTTTTCACTTTCTTGATTTAGCAGTTTGAACAACCAGGACTAACTATATAAAGTTGTTTATGCAGCTTCTTGGATGCCATGGACCCTTGGCAAATCGTGAACCTGGAAGGGCATTTTTGCCAGCTACAGCTTAAATGTGATGGATCAGAATCATAGATGTTATAGTCATCTGTAGCCTTGGAAGGATTTATTTTGTTGATCAGCGTTTTTTGTTTTGTGTTTGAGAACTACCTATCACCCAAGTCATTGAATACTAGTACTACATCTGTTAAGAGATTTTTCTGAATTGTTAATTTTTCGTTCTTAATTCTTATGGTTTTGAGTAACTATGTGGTATCTTTTAAATTTATGTTTATGCTTTTATTTGAGCTCCTGATTCCAAAGTGTCCGCCCATAGTCGTCTGAGTTACAGTAAATTTCATGGATTGCTGCTTCATCCCGAAAAATGAATGGGCTATTGATATTTAGGTTATATTTTCGTAATCTTAATTCCTGGATTGAAGGTTCTATTTTGATCACTGCAGGACTGATAATCTGAAACATATTTCTGAAAGTTGCTTGATAATAATAATACAAGGATTGCATATTAGCCCTCGTGTATGCATATTTCTAACAAACCACTTGAATTGCCAAAGCATCCTAACTATTTTGAGACCTGGTCTTTCAGGTCGAGTATTCTTATCATTGAAGAGTGTGTAGTTTTATTTTTTTCTATCCAGGAGCAGGGTTGTCTTAAGCACATTTTCATAGTTCTGATTTTTGACTAAATTGTTTATTAATAGTCAGAAAAACAATACAAATCCGTAGAAACTATATTTCCTAGTCAATTAACAGAGCTGTTTGGATTGTTCAATGGTTGTAATAAACTTTTTACGGGATAAACAAAGAAATTTTAGTCATCACTAAATCAGTTGATGATAATCATGGAAAGCATAAAACAATAGTTTCAAGAAAAGTAATATTATCTTTAATTCTCTTGAATTTACGATCTTGCAGCAGTCAAAAACTAAAAACTTCTACATATAATTGTTCCTGAAGAACGAGTTTCAATATAATTTCTGTCGTTGAGAGAGAGAGAATGCCTTCTTCAAGGTTTAACAATTTCCAACTGTGGTTGCTATTAAATATTTGGGGAAGGCCCTGCCAGAGACTAATACAACGTACTTTCTTCATTTCTATGATCTTTTTTGTAAATATCGGGGAGCTGGTTTTCTTCTGGGCTTAAAAGCAACAGTAGTATTCTTGCCCAGACCTAATCCTTTCGTAGGTGAGTCACTGCCATTTTCAGGAACGGATTCTTTCTTTTCCTTTAGATCATCAATCAACAATTCTCCTTCAGTTACTTCTACATTTCTTCGTTTGCACTTTTGATTCTTTTTAAGGATTGTAGGTTGCTCTGCCTTCTCTGTCTGATCCGACTCCAAGTCAGGTTTTATGGCCGGCATCTTTCTCTTTCTGGCATGAGTGGCCGGTTCTTGATCAGTGCTGCTAAGTGGGACAATTGTGGTATGTTGTTGACTTGAAAGCAACGATACTCTAAATATGTAAATCTGCAGTGATGTCACACATCTAGTTATCTGGTTTGTTCAAGTTTTGAGCAAGTGAAGAACACAAGACAAGATTAGCATAAAGGTTCACTGTAAACTAGATCACATGAGTGAACTCAGGAAATGGCAGAGAAACAAATCGAGTAAACCGTTGTAACTTTGATTATATTAAAGTTGTATGTAAACGGTGGGTGAATGCTTTTACCTTTACACAAGTAACATTACTGGCGTAGACATACCTTAAATCTGTTTGATTCAATCAATTCAAACACCAGTCCGTCACCATCGTCTAACTTATGTTCCAAAGCAAAGGCCCTCCAGCCACCACTAAGCCCGGTCCTTCTACCAATGTAGATAGCATCAAATTCTTTGCCATCTTCATCCTCTAATACCATATCCACTGTTGATTTTGGAAGAAAATCCACGCAGAACTTTGTTGGTAGTCCCTTGCAATTATAACACATCAAGTATCCTCTCTATCAGAGAATTAAGCCAGAATTTGCAGTGAACTTAACCAAGAAAAAGAATCGAAGTGATACAAGAAGAGTTGAAGACAGAAGAGAAAATGGAAATAGCAGAGAGAAACAATATAGAGAATTTAGAAAGAGAAATATATATTTAACAAAGAGAGAGAAAAGTAGAAAAGAAAGGAGAAAGCAGAGATAATTCTAATTTATCCAGATGATTCATTCCACCTTAATGGCCCTTGCATGTGACCAAGCCAAACTAACTACTCAACTAACTGGTTACCAGATATGAATACGTTTCCCCTAAAAGTCACACTGTCCTCAAGATGGACAATGAATTTATAGATCCTACTAGTCAAACTAGAAGCCGTTGTCCATTTCATGCGGCAGCAAGTTCTTATATGACTGCCATTATGCGTATAGGAGGATTACAAGTTATGTTGATGAGCATTTGTTTCACTTTGCTCAGTTCTTAATCTGATATTTTCTCCAAAGCACTAACTTGTTTGGCAACTTCTTCAAGTCTCTTTGACTCTTCAGCTCTTACGTTTCCAGAGACCAACATGGTCCCAGTACTATGACTCTCATACAAGTGATGCGGTAAGATTTGGAGGTACAAGAACAAAGGGAAACATTATAGAGAGAGAGAGAGAGAGAGAGAGAGAGAGATTACATTGAGAATCCAGAAAGAGAGAGATCAATTTAACAGAAGCATAGAGAAGAGACGGCAGAGAGGTTTCTGATTTCATTCACTAATGCCCTACAAGATGGTTAGTTTCTCTTTAATAGCCCTAGCCTGTACCTAAGCTAACTAACCACCTAATTGTTTCCCACATATCAGAGAGCATCTTAAGTTATGAAGTCCATATTCCTAAATGCACTTGTTTCCATGTAACTTACCAACCAAAAGCAGCTATAAACATGAGACCGAACCATTGATTTGGTAAAAGATGGATTTCCCGATTGGAGACTGCTTTTGAAATCGTCTGCAACCTTTAAAGCTTGAGCCCTCTCTTCAAAAGAAGCAGTTCTACACTCATCCAGGGGCCGGGCAATATAGCTGAAAAAACGTGAAAGAATTGCAGCTAACATCCACAGACGGCAAACCTAATTCTAATGCTTGAAAAAAAAAAAACAGTAAACTCCACCTTGCCCATGACGATGTACTTGATCTTGACCTCCGCGAACATGGAAGTTCTACGTCCAACTGAGGTGGAAGCAACAAAAAAAAATTACAAAATCAATTAGCAACAGGAGTTTTAACAACTCCCCACAAGAAAAGATCCACAGCGGTGCCTATTATTCATTAGACAATTTTACCACAATAACAAACAAGCATTTATCACTCTTGGTAAGCAGAAAATAGAACTAGTCAATCATCAGAAAGAAGAAAACCAAAACACCCGATAACATCACCTGTTATTTACATTTAAGTACCCAGTGGAGGGCATGGATACTTACATCCTCCCGATAAGAAGGAACGGGGTTTCGGGCACGGGAAGACCGCCTTGATTCCATGGCATAGACTGTCTTTTGTTTGGGTTTTGAAAGACGTTGCTGGAAAATGATACAAGAACATACAACCAAGATAAGTAAACTAATTCAGCATCTAAATGAACAAGACAGGAATCGCCAAGCTTTGGCATTTTTTCTTGTTGGGATAAATAAAATTATACCGGAGACTTCTTCTCCGGGTTAGAAAGCTGTTGCAAGCTCTTTGAAATCTTCGCAATTCCCAAATCCTGGAGTCAAATAAACAGCCCAAGTGAACAGCATATGTTCGTAAAGATAAATATGATAAAAGCCACAAGAGACTTGTCCTAACTGACCTCGAATCTTTTCCTATTTTCCTCCAGTCGTTGTTTCCGAATCTCTTCATAACTGTTGGTGATGCAGTTGTCTACCATATCTGGAGTATGGAGCGAACCAAGAGTGGCAAGAAGAAGAGAGAGGGATAGAATCGGTAAGAGGCAGAAAGACAGAATCCTTATGGTGAAGAAAGAGGAAGTCGGTTTCACTTTCAACTTATTGGCATGTTGTATGAAACCCACTTCGTGTATCTGTATATATATTTATATAAACCGCCGTAACTAATAGAGTAGGGAAGGAGAAAATCAATGCACAGAAATAGAATCAGAAACAAGTACCAGTAAGGTATGAAAAAATGATTTCTTACGCTACTAACAATAAGGGCCCCCCTAATCTAGTACAACAGATACAAGCAGGTAGGAGAAGCTGCAGCGGGGTGCAATTTCAAAAGCGATTACAGTGCAGAGTTTTGAAGGAATAGAAGAAAAAAGGAAACATTGTTGGGACGAAGAAGAATGGGTACTCACCTCTAATGAAGTAGCAACTGGCAAAGCTTCCCCACGACAGGAGATGGCGCCCTTTAGAATTTCGAATTTCTTCCTCGATGCGCAGCTGACTGCCGAGCTCATCATGGTACGACACCGTTTGATTTATTTATTTATTTATTTTACCAAGGATAAATATGCTCATTAGCAATTGAGGATTTTTACTTTCAATTTAATTTAAATGATTTAGTTGAGCATCAAGCCATCGTATTTTTGGGTAAATAAATCCTTATTCATGGAGTAAATTGCATTTTCCCAGTAAATAATTGTTGTTAATTAATAGGTTAATAATCAAAGAGTATTTTTTGTAATAAAATAAAATCAAAAAATATTTTTTATTACATTTTAAATTAAGAATACATTAAATCACCCATCTTTTGTACGGCTAAATACAAAGACATGATAAAAGGATGCACCAAATCTTTACCTGAATTTACGCCAGAAATTACCGGGTCTCTTTATTTCCAGCAACACAACATCTAGTTTATCTATAAATGGAAAGATCAAACAAATCTTTCCTGACCAGCAGTTTAATATTCCAGAACATAACTCTCTGCCTTGTCTCAGTTTAATATTTCAGTATCAGAAATCTTAAAACTTATAATGCTTGATCCTCCTAACAAGACAACAAAGCTTTCTAATCCTGTTGGTAATGGAATTGCAATCCATTTGAAAATGTTGTATCAAACCCAATGGTGAATAAATAACACATTTGGAACTCAAAATATTTTGTAATTTGCGAGGCAACTAGTTACAGGCCAATTCCGAGCACGGGCCAGATTATGAATCAACAACTGCTTTTACAATTCACTGTTGTGTAATCCAAAGTCACTGACTTTAGACATCAACTTTCAACTTCGGGCATGAAAATGATAAAACACAGACATCTGACCATCAAATCTCGGATAAACCCACAATAGTTTAAACCAAGATTAGCAACAAATTTAAATTTCTTTTGTCCTACGGAAGAAACAGTATCAATATTTTGATGATCACAAGTTTAGTTGATCAAGTAACACAGATTATTTGCATGTAGAAGAAAGAAAAATATAAACTCCAAAACAAAAATAGACAGCTCTTGGCTACAAGGCATTGCCTTAATATCGATGAGCCAACTTCTCCTTTTCCTTGTAGTTCTGGACATACCTGCAGCAATTAGAAGACAAAAACAGTCAGAGAGAGAAGTTTATCTTAAATCATCATTGAGACTCTTGTAAGGACAAGTAATAAATGATAGCAGATGAATCTTCAAAATCTCTTATTACTGATTTGGTCTACTTCAAGTCCTATCCCATTAAAATTTAATCAGTAATGTTATGTGTAAAATGGATACATGTTCTAGTAAAAAAATAGTAATCAAACTGAACCAAATGATGCATTAATGATTTTTCAGTTTTGCACAGTCATGAATCATCCGCCAGTTTCCTTCAATCAAACTCCAAAGAAACCTACATTTCCCCTCTTTCACTTGAATTAAAGGCTAAAGTTTGATACCACTGGATCCATTAAAAAAACTGAGATGACAGTTCAATAATTTGCTTTCTTTTTACTTGATAGCTCAAATTTGGTTAGTGTCAACCTAAAAATTTATATGATTTCCCACTGAGATATCAAAAAAGTCATAAACTTAATCATAGACTGTTCTAGAAAAGAGAATTAATAAAAGACATAAAAAATAGTAATCTGTTTACAGGTTCTATAGTTGGTGAAAAATGCAATAACCATCAAGCAACTGTCTCATTCAGGCAACAAGCTTCAGGAGAGATGGTATGCTTTGCCTCTTTTTGGGGCACACAGGTTTAGGTAATTCCTTTATCCATGCTTCCACGAAATTGAAATGCTATTTGTGTTGACACAATTTGTTTTCCTTTTGGTTTTTTTTCCTCTCTTTCTAAACCGCAGTTTTGTTTTCTATTTTTGACAAACTTTGTTCATTAAAAAGAAAAGAAGTATTCTGCCAGTGCTCCTGAAATTTTGCTACTTCATTTCCTGTTCACATGGCATCCGTAAAACAACAGTTACTCAGACCCATGTATATGCAAGGAGTGGATGTGAAATTGCAGCTATATTAAGATGTACAAGTAAAACCTTCCTATGACATTAGGATATACAAGGAAAACCCTCATGTTGGAAATCACTTGCTTAACAAGCAGCCGCATGAAAATTGATCGTCTTGGCATCCTCTCTTTTTCACAATCTTCTTAACAAGCAGGAAACAGGAAAATGAAGACATAGAGGAAAAGTCCTATAGATTACATATATAAAACTGCTACTCAGCACCATTTTTATTTTCAAACAAAAATTTTCCTATAACCAATAGAACATAAAGCAGTAAAAAAATTTCCTATAATCAATACAACATAAAGCAATAAACAGTCAAGGGCGGATAGTATAGATCGAATCGGAGAAAAACCAAAACGAGGGTTTAGAGCTCTAGATCCGTAAGAAAAATACGAACCAATAATCAGACAAGAAAGAAACTAAAAACGAAAATTTATCGGAAAAGAAGCAAAAAAGAAAGTCTTACGTGTATGTGCCGATAAGGGGACCAAGAAGGAGAGTGGCGCTAATCCAGTTGTCAGAGACCTTGTGGCTGATCTTACTGGGAAGATCCTTCCAAAGGCCGGGCATCACCTTCTGCTGGAAAGGAGACAGAGCGTACACCACGGCCTTCATCCTCACCGGCTGCTTCCCCATCTTGGATTTTACTGACTTTGATTGCCTTTCTTCTTCTTCTTCTTCTTTTTCTTCTTCTTCGAGTTCCCCCTCGCGTTGTTTCTGGAACCAAACCCTCGTGTCTAATTCGTCAAAGTTCAATATATTGGGCTCTCCATTCACTTAGGCCAGCCATCCAGCCCAATTCCCATAAGTTAAAATCATAAAATTTTATATAAATATATCAAATAGCATTAATAAAATAATTAAAAATAAGAACTTGTAATATTTTATTATGAATTCATAAAAAAAAAAAAAGTAAAAGAAAATTTTATTTAAAGATAGTAATATTTTTTCATAAGTATAAAATACTTGAATTTTAATGAAATTTATCGTTTTATAAGATCATTTTTACATATTTTGTAAATTTTTTAGTTAGTAGTTCGATTAGAATATAAAATTATTTTCATTAATAATAAAGTATGTAATATGAATACTTATTTATTTTTTGAAAACACGGTCCTTATCAAATTTAATTCTACTATTACTTAGGTTGATTTTGTTCTCAATTTTTAAAATTTTGTCCTATTTATTCATCACCAACTTGTCTTTCTTCGTATTGATAATATAATATAATCACAATGGGTGATGATTATACTTATATTTTTTTTAAAATTATAATAATATTTTGATTAATGAAGATCTTGGTTCCCTTATTTATTTTTTAAAACTTAAAGTTGTGTTTAATAATTATTAGTATTCTCTTTTAAACCAACTATATTTTTGATTTGCTTTCTCTTGTGGGTACCATAATCAACAAAAGTCTCTTTACTCCCTTATAGCCCTATTAATTATCCTACCCTATAAGTGTGACTCGGAGCCTTGTATCTTTTATTGTAATTCGATGTGATATCGTATTATTAAATTAATTTAAGATTTCGTTATATTTATGTCACTCTTCTACAAATTTTAAATTATTTAAGTACATTAAATAAATTTTTTTTTAATATAGTCTCTATTAATGATATTTACTTATTATAGTGTTGATTGGGTAAAACATTATACTATTACTCTATAACTATTGACACAATAAAAAATAAGCTATATAGTTTGCTCTAATATAAAATTTAATTATTCTAAATAACAAATATCATTTCTGTATTACTTTGACAATTTGGGGGAGTACCTGACTACTATTACATTGTGTTTAGTTGAAACAAGTTTTATACTTATTCAATTACTAAATTTTAGTTATTTGCTATATACACGATAATTATAATTTGTACATCTAATGCATAAATAAATTAATTTCTTTTTTATCTTCATTTTTATAAGCATTGATTTTGCATTGTCACATGCCAATGAACAAATCACATAAACAGTTAATTTTGAATTGGATATGAGATTTTGAAATTAATTGTTACATTCGTTCGAATTAAATGACATTTCAATTGTGTTTTTATTCTTATTTTATAAAATTAAAATTTAAATGAGACTTAATATTATTATATAATTCTTGATTGTTCTAATAAATTATTTCGTAAATAAATAACAACTTATAGCACAGTAAATAAAAACCAATAATACAAATTATTAATCGTTAACATCAAGTATCAGATAATGAAAATATCACATACATAATGCACAGACACAATAAGCATTGTGACGAACACAATCAACTCAAAATATGTCTGGCAGAAAGACAAAGATCAGCCCTTTCATCCAGCAGATTCCCGCTGGGAACGAACACAAGATGCCGACTTGGAATTAGTCATTCAAACCCCTCCAATTGACATATATTTCATTTCACTACCAACAAAGAGTTTTTATGTTCCCACAAAGAAAAGATCAAAGGTTGATTACAGAACAAATTTAGAATAACCCCTACTTTTACTACTGCAACCAACTACATTCACAAAAGCTTGTAATAAATGAATTTATCTTTAGTCTCGTGTTAACACTCATGCAACTCAATCGAAGCTCATCGTGCCATGTTACCTACCTGGCCTCTCTTTATAGCTGTACAGATTACAAAGAGCTGATAAATAGCTAATAGTCATCTGGAAATGCATATCATTATTGACCTGTTTTGGCACGCTTCATCCCGATGGAATTAAAAGGAGATATGCTCCCACTTGGTCCCGGGCTCTCCTCTCTTATATTGGAGTTGAGCATAGCTAGTTCTCTCAACTGCTGCCTCTTGTATATGTCCTGTGATTCATCCTGCAATTCGAAAGATGGAAAATCATGAGTACCAGTGGCCATCAGGTATGGGAAAATATTGATAGATTGAGCATGTAATTGAAACAAATATCCTCTGAAAGCTTAGAATCATGAATGATAATGAGGAAAAATCAATATGGTAGAATCAATACCACAGGCTTGAGCAATTCTCCGATGATTTCCTGAGCTTGTCGCAATCGAATATCAACGATATCGACTGGGAATTCAGCCTCAATTAAGATGTGGAGCGGTTCACTCAGATGCTCATAGCCTGGGCGTCCCATCAAAGATTCCTCCTTGAGAAACAAATAAGGGTGAACGCAACCAAAATTGTCAGGGAGGCAATAACATATTACAGCAATATGGAACAAAGATTTGATACTCAAACATACTGCAAAATTTGAATGAGAAAAGCATGTTTTGCAATTGAAATCCCCAATCACTTCCATGTTAATAGTTAATTCAACATGTTCTTGGATTGAGCATATTCAGTCAACATATGGGACAATAACTCAAAACTTCTTACCTTTTCCGAGTCTTTTATTGAACCTTTTCCTCTAATGTAGATACGACACCCTGTAGTAGCTTCCACCCTCTTCAGTGAGTTGCCTCTGGGTCCTAGGAGCCGACCAACAAAATTGAACTAAAAGTTCCAGAGCAAAACATGAAAATTTAGTTCTTCTAAGTTCTACACGAATAACAAAACTTGAAATAGCATTTTTTTGCTAAAGATAAAATTATAGAGAAACTAGAAACTCAATTCAAACTAAGCAAATCAACCTAAAGTTACACATAAAGCTCACATTTGGGAAAGTATCCACAGGAATCTCAAGCCGCAGTATTTTCTTCATGACATGTGAACTTGGACTCAGCGGTGCTGCTTGCCAATCCATGGTCAAGCCCTGTTGTCCTCCTACTCTCTGTTACACAATGAATTTATGGTCTTACTAGCATGAGCACCAGAGAGCATCTTTACAGAAGAACACCAATAAAAGAGAAGGGAAATGAAACACATATTCAACAGAGTAAAATGAGTAAAGGAGATAATGCAAACCTCTTTTGAACCTAAACATATCTATGTTAAGTGTCTCAATGTGCGAAATACAAAGCAAGTTAAAACAAAGGGGAAGTAGAACACATGAATGGGGACAAAAACATGATTGTCCTCATAAAGCTGCAATAGATCCAAATTTCTTGAGGGCACAATTTATAATATAATGGAAAATACATTGTTAGGTTTCCTAGGAAAATTAACTAAACTTTTTCCATCTTCACGTCTGGATCTATTTTGATCAATCTCAATGACAGGCCAAATAACCTGCAGTGAACTTTATATTAACATGGAAAGATCCAGATTAAAGACTAAATATAAATGGGTAAGTAGCCTCTCCATACCACCCAGGCAACCCAACTCCTTATGAGGAAAAAAAAAAAATCACCCATCAGTCTCAGCCAAAATTGTGAACTCTATAATGGCAAAATATATTTATTTCCAGTTACAATCAAGATTCCAATTTTCAAGATCAGTAGAATGCTACATTTAGTTTCAGATATTACATTTGAAGAACCATTCTCCAGTACATCTATCAGTTCTTTGAACTTTGGCTACCTCACTTTAACATTTGGTGGTTAAGATGGAGCTTTGTGCCATAACTTGGTTCAAAGTCATGGCACCTGAGGACATTTATGGAGTCTATTAGCAGGTATACTCTGATCTATGAACGCAACCTGGAGCACAAAATTTCAATAAAATCAAGTGTAAGCCTATTCAATATTTGAGCTGCTTCTTGAACCCCATTCAATGGCCAAGCTTTTAGCCTTTGTCAATGGCTGTAGATGGCATTGAATACAGATTATAGTGTCAACCCCTCTTCTGACAGGCATCTCTACGCAGTGCGCAGGAATAGTTCATCCGCACTTGTAAGCATAAATCTTCCAGGGAAAGCATTGTCAAAACAAGAATGGCATGCAGATTAAGATACATACAAAAGTGAAATTCAGATATGGAATGTGCATAGACATAATTACCTCACGTAGCAGGCCATTCCAGCCATTGAAGCTCAGTCCTCGATTAATTGACATCATTTCTGAGGAGATCATCGGGCCAGGAGTAGGACTTCCACGCTGCAATCGGTCTAAATCACAAAACCCTTGAGGACTCATTGCAGATACCCGGAGGATTTCTGAACAAAAATTTCTCCATCAGTACTGTCACATAAAATTGGTGCATACACTACACAGGGCATACATGAAGTTGTAAAATTACTAGTGACGTAATAGAAGGATACAACTTGAAGAAATCAACTTGTACCATGTGTTCAATGAGGTTGAATTTATATCTTATACCTACTCTTTAGCGGGCGTCAAAGACATCCAACCAAAGTCGTTTGGGTTGAAAATTGGCAAGACATATGCGAATTGATATCAACTGCCATTGTCAGGCTTAATATCTGTTTCAGAAGAATGAAACATGACCTCTAGTTGCCAACTTGCCATATCCTAATATTGTTTGGTGTTTTTCTCTTTATCTTCAATTCATTTCCCAAAATTCATTAATAGAAACCATTTATAGTTCTCATTGAATAATTCAAA